TTCAATTTATAAAAATCTGTTTATTATTATCTTACCATTCTTCATATGGATTTCTTCTGAATACTGTTGTTATACATAGATAAATATATAAAATTTATAGATGTGTTGGGATTGTTGTATTTTGTATGTTATAATTGTGACATATCAGAATGGAGTTTATGGAGATTGTAGTGATTTTAATAGTTGCAACTGTTTTTTGTCTTAATTAAAAATATCTATTCTTACTTTTCCCTCTTTTTTTATTAATGATTTATCCTTCAATTTCCAATTTGTTTGCATCCTTATTAATTAGTATTCATAGTAATAGTTGAAGCTATAAACTTTAAATATATTGTTGACTTGTTTTATTTCTACAGATCATGTATTACTGTTCAGAAAGGATTAAACGGTGATACATCTCTAACATGGTAGAATTACATTAATTTTCTTTTTATGAATATAAATTATATTTTCTAGTGATAATAAAGGTTTATTCAAATCTGGGAATCAAATTTCATCTAGTGAATGGTCAAAAGTTATGATTGATTTACCGCCAACAAATACAGATTATAAGGTATGGTGATTATGAGAATTTATGAGATATTTTAATTATAGTGATTTTAACATCATTATCCTGTTAGCTAAAGCAATACATTCATGTGATAACTGAAGGTTATTACTAAATCACATGACCACAGATACACTTACTTAATCTTATGTTATTAAGAACCAAAAATCAACATCATGATTGTATCAACACAAAAATGTAGAGTAGACAAAAAGTTCTTTTACATCATTTAGTTGTGTTTGTCTTTCTTCACTTACCAAACCCGACTTATGATGATGATAAATAACATTTGATTGAATTCGCTTTATGTACTGGAATTGTACTGCTTAAGCGCTGATTATTGCTTTTTCTTCTATAGAACCATTTAGTTGGAGATTATTTATTAATTTATATCTTCTGCAAGGATAAGCAGATCATAAATTTTTTTAATTTGCAGCCTAGATTTTTTAGTTTTTTTTTCCATTGTTTCATTTAATCACTAACTCTTCTATTAGTTATTCATTTTACATTCCTTGATCATTAATTGGTACCTTTTGATATTTTCTCATCATGTTAGCAATTTATTTGAATATATATATTCATATAGCTTTTTTTACAATTATTTTAAAACAAGACTGTTATGATTAAGTAAGGAACTAATATTCTCAACACTTTGATCTTTATTAAATAATACGTGTTGTCTAAAGTTAACAGGATTAAGGATTATTATCGCAAATGATCAGAGCACAGTGAATAGTTCTTCTATTTCTTCATTATTTGCTCATGAGCTTAATTATCAACTATGATTTACGTGTTAGTGTTAACTTGAAACTTTCTATTGATGTTTAGGACTGCGATTGATCAGTGTCTTATTGACATATATGCATACTGTATGTGTTGTCTCAATATTGCCTTAATTCACAAGATGAATGGTGACAGCAGTGGAATCCAGGATGCGCGTTTCGTCTTATTTGGGACTCGTCAAGTGGATGTAACTACAGAGTTGATGTAAATTAAGGTGATATCGAGACGAGATGCACATATGCCAATAAGAGACTAATCGATTGCAGTCCTAAATATCAATCGGAAGATTCAGACAAACAATACATAAACAAATTAAAACTTCAACCCGCTGCACAAGCATATGGCTATCTGAACTTAGTAGCTAAGTGGATAAGGAGATGGCGTGTGGGGCGAAAGGAAATGAGTCCACGTCCTGAAGTGAACACTAACCATGGGATGCAGGTACACCCAGTTGACGAAACCCACATCCTAAATTCCACTGCTAGTTACCATCCATCTTTACTTATATAAACTACAATGTGTTTTTTCCTGAAGTTTTATCTAAACATTTATTGTTAAAGCTAATGATATCACTTGGTTCCTCATATCTCAAAATAGTTTGATTACTTTTCCATATTCTCGGTTACTACTGTTTGAAGTTTTTCTAATGATATTTTCAGGATACTATCTTTATTTCATAATGTAAATTATCTTTCAGTTATGTTGTTATTTGTTCATGTGTTTATCTTCCTATTATTGCCTACTCGATTAACTGGGAAATCAATTGTAAGAGGTAGTTTTTTTTCCGATAGCAGTTTTAAATCAAATTCCCTATTGTCTAAATCTGATTTAGCTAAGTCGTTTTTCTTCTAAGTAATTTATAAAACAATTTTTCTTCTGAAGTTTTTTTTATGTGTTTGTATAGAGAGACAAAAGTGTCAGATACGTTTGTTGTATTGTTGAGTGAAAGTATATTGAATTAGAGTGTATGATTGATGTGTTTATTTTTTCGCTTTCTCTTTTCACTACTGACTGTTTCAACTCGTTAAACAAGTAATAGGTCTATGTATTGCATATTAATTAAATAGTAATTATTTGCACAATTTCTTCACACTTTTTCTAATATATCTTATTATGTATATATAGATCTTGTAAACCATCCCTTGATCCAGAGACTAAACAATTCGGTGTATTTTGGTATGTTTCTTGTGTATTTGTTTATAAATATATATCATATATGTGTCTAGTGGCAACGCGAAATTATGGAGTTCATCTAATGACAAACAATTTATTCATACAACAACAAAATGGCTTACAGTTGTAGTGAATTTAAATTCAACTGATCAAGATTTCAAGGTAGAGTGGTTTAATGACTCATAGTTAGTTAAATTCCATTCTTTTCCCATCTATATTTCTTTCTTCTTAATTTATTTTGTTTGTTCCTCAACTCCACTTTTTCATTTGCCTCTTAGTTTTCTTTTCTTTATCCTAATAGTCATTTCTCGTAATATCATCATTGTTTTTATCATAAATTAAAAGTGTTGTTTGTTTATTTGTGTTATGCTAAGAATACCTAACTCTATATCAATAGATTTACATATTAAGTTGTTTAAAGTGGTTCAAAAATCTCTTTCCTGAGTAATTAATTTTTCTTTTTCAATGCCAATGAAGAGTGCAGTACATTAATTTGAGCATAGTTTAAACTATAATTAATTTTTTTTAATGCTTACATGATATTTGCACAATTATTATTATGTTTATCTCTCATTTCTAATTCGTACCTAATATTTAAAGTAGTCCTTATAGCTTTTTTTCTGGTTTGGAATTGTGACTTAATTATTGAAACACTCCAATATATGACATTTGAGCCTTATCACACAATATTTGGTTCGGTTAGCTAAATAGTATTGATTACTGTCATATATATATATATATAAAGTGTAGTTTCTCAAGTTGGAACTGAAATGAATCATTATTATTATTATTATCATCACTATTATTATTATTACTATTAGGACTATTACTATTATTATCACCATTATTATTACCATTATAATTGTTATTACTAATATTATCGATTATTATTATTGTGGGAATTTATTACACTTTTTTGAGTTAGTGACTAAGGTTTATGAGCTCTTTTTACCACAAATACGGAATTTCATATACATAAACGATATTACCAGTCATTGATCTATTTATTTTGACACATAGATATTGGTACAAGGAGGCACCAAATACATATGCGCCACAAAAATCTCATTCGATATGTGTGAGGGCTGTGATACTGACCGGGTGCCCAAACCGAAGCAGGTGGTTTTCTTAGGGGGCCACACCCCGAGCCTTCGACCTGAAGGTCTGATCCACAAGGCAGTGGAGCATCGTAAGGAGATGCAGTCCCATGGAAACCTGTGACCGAAAATTGGTTCATACGCCATTTGTTCCCTCAGGATACTGGAGCCCATGTGCACCACTGATTCGGTTTGGGATCCGGTTAAAGTGCCGTCATTGAAAAGCTGATTTATTTTTGTCAGTAGTATTGAAAACATTGTTTCATACGTAAATAAAAAGGCAATTTCTAGAAAATAAAATTTATCAGTATGAAATAAGTCATTATCCTGTTATTCATTTTCATCATTTTGCATAGTGTTGATTTTCGTTAATTCTTACTACAACATATAATCTGTAATGTAGTGGGTCACCTACGTTTAGTCGCATAGATTATTATCTTACTTATTTTACTATTGAGTGATCACTAAATAATGTCTAATCTGATGTTTGTCTAGTCCTTCAGTGATAATCGAATTATGTCGGTCAAGTTAGGATTTTATCACACGTCAGATTCACTCGATATCTCTTTCATAATGTTGAGATATTAGTTAGTTGAAAATCGTCATCAAAGAATCCTTAGACTAAGGTCCTTGCTCTCTACCACTCTTCATTAAGGTACAAAGTTTCACAGATGATTCACAATAGTTCGGCTCCAACAGACGGTATCCGTTTTATCAATATCGCGGATACGTCTTGTAAACGAATGCCAAGTTCAAGATTACTTTTTGGATCACCTCCGACCACCTGACTTATAAACCGTTAACCACTGGTTCCAAACATATCAGTAGTCTGATATAATTTACAATATGTTTGGTTTATGTTTAGTAAAATACTAAATAAATTTTCATTTTATAGTTATCCAGTATTAGGATGATTCATAAATTTTCACATAGATCTTGTATCATTAAACATTTTAGTGCTTAAAAAAATGACTTTCCGAATCCACCTGTTCATATCGAGTTCTTTTTCGAGTAACTTATTATTATTTCGTCAAATATGTGAACGAACTTGGCAGTATACATAACACTTAGTACCTAAGTTCAAACACCAACCAATACACTATACCTAATATAAATACCTCCCTTCTGAAGGAAAAGCAATATGTTAGGACATTTAAAAGTATATAAATACATTATTACACTTACATTAAGGCTTAGTTTATTCCAAATGGTTATATAAAACAACAACAATAATCATCCTATGCTTGTGTCAAGTCATTTGACAATCGAAACTATTCTCAGTCTCATTATCGATAGAAAAAGTGATCAAATGTTTGCTATAGTTTCTACACCTCACTAACAATCTGTATCATATATATATCTTTAAAAATATTTTTTCCTACATTTTTTCTACCTTGCAGCTGATATTAGAAGGTACAATTCCTGCTGGCTATCCAGATGCTAGAATCTGTGTCGATAATATTACTTCCTATACTGAACCATGTAGTGGTAGGTTATATAAAGTAAAATCATTTTGCATGATAACTTTTTTCATTAGAGCATAGTATATTAATGTTGTTACTTTTTTTCACGGAACTATACTATGTCGTCTGTAGTTTATTTCTGTAAAAATAAATAAAATCTTCATTGAATAGAATACAGTTATATATATGTAGCAGTTCATTTAACCTCTTTTTGTATTCGTGTATGAAACACATGGTTCTAACCACTAAGTCGTAGACCTAAACTTTACTCCACATCCTACTTCTGTTGAATAGTATCACCAACCTGTACAAAAAATGTCACCATCTAAACTGAATACATGAAATTTATTTACAATTAGTGAACTACCTCGAAAATTTAAAAATTTGTAAATCGTTTTCTCTAAAAGACTTTTTCGTTTCAGTATTAAACTGTATATTGTATTGTATGTTACTCATTTTTTTCGAACTGTAGTAGAATCACTTTTTAAAAAGTCACTTTTCACAAACAGCTTTGCTAATATACCTGGAAATATTACCTTATTTATTCTAAGTAGCTGGTTTTTCCATAGGTTCTATTATCACGGAAGTGATTTAGATGTTTTGCGATCACCACAAAATAGTGGATTCAACATTAGTGTCATAGGTACAGCATAACTGTAGCTTTTAAAAATTTCCTGCTGCTTCATACACTTCAAGCTTATTCTATTGCTAAATTTAGAAACAATAGCTTATATTTAAGATCCTTACTAACTGATTCAGTACAAGGTTGTTTATGTTATCATGACTAGATGTAAATAACCGTGAATGTCGACAATAAGTAACGTTTAGCTTGAAATCATTCCATTTTGGAAATGAATCAGATCATTAGTGTACTACTGTTTCAATTTTCACCCATTTATCTAATAAATCAAAATCTTTAGTATTATGAATATATCATAAAATGTTTTTTATACCCCTACTTTTCTCGTGTAAATAGCTCTGGAGAAAGCATCTGCACCATTGCCAAGTCAATGGAGTTGGGCACAATACTTTGGATTGACATTTGTTGGTGCTTTAATCTTAGGTTTATTAATACCAGTGTTGTTTTTGGTTATTCTGATTTGGGCCTGTCGTCGCCGTCATCATGCTATGCACTCAAACTATACGAATAGTAAATTATTTTCAACAAATCTATGGTATTACATCGGTGGCAAAGAAATATGTGATGATCCAAATGGTTTTCGCGGTAGTTCAAGTTTGTTACGTTCAAAACAATTTAATTCACCGTCAGCAACTGGTACTTTATTGAATGGTGGTGGTGGACATCATTTGATGTTGAGTAATGCTGATGTAATGGATTTACCTGATGTAGTTGTACCAGGTGGACGTGTAGTAGCCTTTAATTATTCTGGAAATACTTTAGGCGGTAACACACTTCGTCATAATCATAATAATGCTGGATATACAAACACAAATTATCTATCAAATGCACAAAATGGTCAGGTTATGCTAACAAATGTTAATGGGACAGTTTCATTGAATAATTGTGGTACAAATGTTACTACTGTTGCACGTACTGGTCAAAATGCGATGCCGTTAGTATCAAATGAACTTATTCAACAACAGTCACAAAGTCAACAACAAAATGAAACTTATAATTACCAAACGAATCCAGTTTTCGGGGGTATGTTGTGCTTACGAAGAAAAAACGGATTGTTTTTCTTATTTTTTGTTGATTAATTGCCAATTAAAATTGTGAACTCTTTTGGAGTATTCTTCATAACATTTAAAGTCATATAAGGGATTCTACTTTCAGGTTATTCTTCCACATATTCCTGTTCGGTTCATATCGATCACTGATTAACTGATCACAACCTTAATCCCAATATAAGATGGTGGTTAATTAGAGTCTATCGGAAACCCTGAATTTAGGTTGCGTGTTGTTTGGCACTCATCAGAAGGGTGCATATGTGATCTTGAAGGAAGTAATATCTTCTGGCGGATCCGATCTTCTGTCACCCATCTCCATAGTGCGTGAAGCTATCCGGATTGTGACTGACCTCTTGCACAACTGAGTTGTATTTACAGTTGAATGGTCGCCTAATAAAAAATCATTGTCATTTATATCAAGTTCTTCTTAGAACGAATGTGACTGTCACACCCGAACGAAGAAAAAATGAACGGGACCTTTTAGGGATTATTTATGGACTATTATAATATATATTTCTACTGGATAACTATTAAGTAAATAGGTTATATATATATATATATATATTCACATATATTCCACGTGCCTGAAATATACGTTTCATACAGCGGAGGTTGATATTTGTGTTCTTGATCCAACGAGAAGGTCTAGATAAGAAGTTAGTATTTTGAGGGCTAATGCGGATTCAGAGTTGTTTCAAGGCTGCCAGTGCTGGTTGACGTGTCATTGGTCTAGCACAGGTGCAAGGTCATACAAGTTGGCATTCTAATTGACCATTTGCCACGTGATAATTGACAGGGGTAAAAGTGATAACAGCGACCAGCACCAAGAAGGACTTGATATTCATGTCACTGATCGCTACGCAGTGATTGGTCAGTCATGAAAATTATCCTAGTAATTTTCCGTTAAGTTTCCTTTTTGATAGTTACAATAACTATTTCACTTGTATCCTGTTTTTCTCTACTTATAATTATTATTCAGAATCTGCCTCTATGGCACTGATGACAGCTAGTCAATCTCCAATGCTAATGACACAATCTATGGCACCAAATTATGGTTCTGAAGCAAATCACATTGCTCAGTCAAATTTTTCCAATGTAAGTAAAAAATGTTTTTGAACTGAGAAGACAGACAACGGGGATTATTTAAAGCTCTCATGGAAGATTTCAGTGATGTTGTATTTTTTTTCCGAGGTAGATGATTTAGATCATAAAAAGACGTAAAGTGAAGACATTAAAAAATAATTTGAACCATAAACACAATCAGTGTTAGATATTCAGTAATTTAAGTGCTAGGAACTCTGCAAAGCAAATTATTCGGTGTTAGTTTTTAAAATACTTATGTTGTTGAAGTTGCAGTACTATATATATATATATATATACCACTAAATAGTTTGATGAGCGAGTTTTTAAACTTAACCTGTGAAATCATCTAAGTTATATTTGAGGTAATTACTCACTGATAACAATCGGTAAGGGTTGCATTGCACAAATCACTCGAAGTTAGAAATGAAGACAACTATACTTCAGCACGAAGTTACGATAGCATAGTTGTGTTGTGCATCGTTCTTTTTGTTGACTTCCAAGCTAATGCCAATTTCCAAACGAAATTATCAGTCAATACTTTTGTTAATTTCTATAAATTATTTTCTTTGATCCTGTCAAGTTTAAAAAGTCATACGATCTAAAAATCCTCTTTTGTCTATTAAGTTATGAGAATACATTACGTTCCTTCTGATAAGCCTTATCTAAATTCAGATAAATGAATTACTTGTACATAAGATCAGTATTAATCCAGTAGATAAATACAAGTTTAATAATTGTTAAGTCATGACCTGTGTGTAAATATTTGTTTTCTTGGTTAAATTATGAAGATAATGTTTGAAATCCACTATAAATATACTACTTATGTCAATATAAGTAGCACACACCACACTATGTCCTTATATACAATCTTTCTTTTATATATTACCACCACTGAATTAACCACTTCTATGAATCCGTTGTTCATCTTATTGTACTAATGAGTTATGGCGATTTGGACCGATGCACATATGTGCCTGGTCCTATGTTGTAGCTGACTGACCGGGACTTGGACTCATTTCCTTTCACTCCACCCGCCATCACGTTATTCACTTAGCTAATGAGTCCAAATAGCCACATGCTTGTGCAATGGAGTGAGGTTTTTATTTACTTATGTATTGTTTGTCCGAATCTTCCGATTGATATTTAGGACTGTAATCGATTAGTCTCTTATTTGCATATGTGTATCTTGTGCGTATTATCTCTATATTGCCTTATTCTCAGAGTGAACATCTCTTGGATGCAGGTAGTAGCGAAACAATCCTCACAGGATGCACATATGCCAATAGGAGACTCATCAATTCCCGTCCTAATCTTCAATAGAAAGATTGAAGCAGACAACACCATCATGAATTACTTTCTAATAATTGCTTACAATCAGTGAACTATTAGTAAAATATTCTGTAGATTATTATCCACTTATTTGTCTTTGAATTTTTTCATATACTAGGCTAATACTCAACAAATAAACCAATTAAATTCAAATGGTCAAGTATACAACAAACCAGCAGTACCACCAGCACAACAACAACACCATCAACCACGTGCACAATCGCAATATTTTCCCCCGACCCAACAGTCTCAAACGAATTTGATCCAACCACAACCACAAATATCTCAATCATTTCAACAACAACAACAACAGCAGCAGCAGCAACCGTCCAACTTTCAATTTCAGAACCAACTTCAACAGCAACAACAACAACAGTTAGTAGCTAACCAAACACCTGTTTCTAATCAGTTTCATCCACAGCAACAACAGTCTGTACAACAATCACACCAACAGCAGTCTGTACAACAATCACAGCAACAACAGTTTCCTCTTCCACCACCTCCCCCAACATGTCAATTGCAACAAATGAATCTTCAACAGGCTGCAAATTTACCACCACAAACACAACAACAAAATCAACCTGTTCCTTTTAATCAACAACCAGTTAATCATCAGTATCCATTTCAGTCACAACCATCACAAGTACAACAACCAGTACCGACTGATCAACGAAGACAACAAGTAGTGAATGGACAAATACAAACATCTGTTGCCGTTGTTACTGCACAAACTGCTCCCATTCCACTTGGTTCATCGCAACAAAATTGTCAACCTCTACAACAACAGTCTAACACTAATACTACAAATTCTGGTAATAATAATAATTTGAATAATGGGAATGCATTAATAACGATATCAAATAATCGTTGTTTATCTATGTCACCAACGTCCGTTGGAACTGATTCACTTACTGAAGCTGATCAACAAGCTGCTATGGCTTTGTTAGCTGCTGCCACAGAAGGTATGGATACGTTTCGAGAAAATCAAACAACACCGAGTAGTTTACAGTCTCCAATTCCAATAGTCAGTAATAACATTAGGAGATTAGATTCATGCATTAATACTACTACTGCTACAAATACTACCACTAATAATGATATTAACACTCAAGTACCAGTTGATGAAGACAATCCACCACCAGGATATGATGAAGCTATTGGTTTGATACAAAACAATTTCATGAATAATGTTAACATGGCAATGATGATGAATACAATGGTGAAACCAGCTGTTCCTATACCGAACACAACTTGTACACCACCACCAGCATTACCACCACGTCGAATTATTAACGGAGTTGGTTTAGAAGATATTGAGGATCCACAATCAATGACATCGTGTATATCGTTAGCTGAACGTTATGGTCTACATGTAGCTGAAATTTAAAATGGACAGCACGGAGGTTTTAAACGATGGATATTGTTGAACTGTTTAGGAAATTATTACATCATTGAATGTGTAACAGTCATACGGTTTTTGTTTAGCGTAATTTTTCATCGCATCCGTTTAATGTTGTTGTTTTTCTTCTTCTCGCTTACTCATCTTAATTAGTGCTTGTTGTTCTCATTATTGTTGTTGTCCCCATCATTATTATTTATTGTTAATGTATGCTTTTCGTATCTGCATGTTTTCATGTGTACTTGTGTCTATTCTTGACATTTCATCTCATCAATTTTTTTATATTTATCTTACTCATTGCTTTGCTTATATAATGATTTTACGTTTCATTGTAGCTGTGTTTACTTATTTTAATCATAATATTGATATTTATACACGTACAATGATTTTACAAGTATTACATTTTAAATAGTAGCATTCTCTTGTCATTACAACTTATGCAACTGTTATGCCTAAATTTAGGTTTTTAATTGTTTTATACCTTGATTAATCCATTTACTGTTTACTGATAGCTAATATAGTATAATTGTTTGTGATTATCTCACTGTCATCCACACACACACGTACACAGTAATTGAAGTTACGCTATTCATGTTCTCATATTCTATGGTGAGGAAGTTAAGTAATAAAACTAAAGCATTTTAATCTTCTAGGCAATCATAACGAAGAACATCAGTTGCATATACATTTATTTGTGTGTATGACGGTGTATGTTTCAATGCTATCAAGCTGTTAGTAATTATCAACTACATTATTCATCAACAATCACCACTAAAATGTTTTAAATTATGACAGTCATTCTCATCTTGATTTTAAATTCTTTATTGTCTTAGTCCACTAATATTTGCTTCGTTCGTTTTCACTGCTGTTTTACTTCACTCATTGTTAGTTATTTGTGTTTATTTTTTCTTCTGTGCAATTTTGTCAAACCTTTTTCTCTTGTAATTTTTGTCCTCTCTTTTGTTTTGATTTGTCCTTTATTGTTTTGTGGAGGTATTTTATTGATTACACCGAACTCTGCCAGAATTTCTCACTTCTCTCTATTCGTCCCACCTTCAGAGATATCATAGAATGGGCGTTAAATTTGTTTTTGACCAGTACTAAGAACAAACTTTATACGCTGATTATTTGAAGGTACTTCTGGTTGAGCTTTCTTTTTACTTTTCAACATTAACTAAAAATTGCAATATGTATATCTTATGATTCGTTTGATTTAAACGTGCAACGTAGTTGTTGATCTTTATTAACGGCTACCGGATTATCGGTTTGTTCATTTCCCTAAATGTTTTATCTCGAATTTTAATCATATTTGGATTATCATAACGTTTTCATGTTGTCTGTCATTTTGATCACTTATTTAATGAATAATCAGTGTATTGTCATCTTTTCCATGCTTACTTCCTTTGCTTCAATAAATAAATGTTCATTATGATCATTGCTTCTTAAATATTTGTGATTGTGATTTTAACTACTTTATATCTATTTAGGTAGTCAATTATTCTACCACATGTATACGAAGGAACGGTATGACTCATAATTTTAAAAACAGTAAACCGTCATAATTGACAGTTAAAAAATGTAATGACTTTTTAACCCGTTCTGTCCTACATTAACCAGTTTATAATAAGTTTACTTCAATAATAAAACTAAGTGATATGTTTCAATATGGAGATAGTAATTGTCTGAAACGTAACCCGGAATTTCTAAATTCTAATATGGAAATTATTAAACAATCACTTGAAAGTGTTCCTCAATGTTCAATCGAGTCATTATTAATTATTCTTATTTGTCTTCAGAGATATTTCAAAAGTGTTGGATGAACAATATGATATAGAACTGCGATAACATTGTAAATTTGTCTAATCAGATTTCCTCTTTACATTACTGAGTTTTATTAGTTTCAATTTTTCTGCAGAAATTTACTTATCAGTCAGTTGTTTCGCGCTTAAATATCATCTTCTACTTATATAATGCCCAAAAATGAGAGATATTTCCAGAGAGAATTCATTGTTTTTGGCATCCATTCGTGTTTGTTAATGCTTGACTAAAATACGGCTGTCAAACCTTGTTTATTTAGAACATAAACTAGAATATTTAAAAGTAAATGCTTTCATTTATCTATATTTAAGTCCTAAGTATGAACAAAGGCTCCAACGAATAACATCATACTCTACTAATAGTTCGATGGCTATTATGGCTTTACTGGTTTACTTTATTACCCTTTGGATTTTCAAATATTGAGCTTTGTCTTGAGTTTCAAATAAACATATCAACGCTTAGATCTGAGGTAGCCAGTCACAGAGCAAAATTTCTTCCGGTGATAGATCCATATGTCATATACAGTTTTCATGTTTAATGAATCGGTTATTTTATTGGTAAAATATCATAATAGTTGTCGAAGTGATCAATATTCTCTTTTACAATGTTTAAGTGAGCACGCAGCATAGGAAATCGCAATATCATAGAACTGTACTTGTTTAATTGCCTGTTAAATTTTATTGTAGATCTTGTCTGTGAAATAAGTTAGTGTGTTACTTTCCATTATTTCACCTACTGCCTTGAATGAACATCTGAAAACTACATTTAGAAAGTTTTGTGCATTAAACCTGCTTCAGTCTTCCTGCATATCTAAAGAAGTTGTATGTACAGATATGTCACATTATATCGAGCTCTTCGAATTCCATTGAAGTTACTCGATATATCGTTTTATATGATTGAAGATAACTGATATTTGCTCATGGTTTTCATTAAATTATATGTACAACTTGAGTGGCACATTCTCCTTAGAAACTATGAACTCGCGTCATAAGTGATCGTATTCTGTTTATTACTTTTTTTATTCTGACGACAAAGAATGACTCCATTTACTCCGTAGTGAAATTTTAGTTGAGTTGGATTTTTTAAAGGAGGACCAGTTAATAATTGGACAAGTAACTTCTCTAAATTGCCCAATCTTTTACACAAGTTGAAATTTGCGAAACAGTATTAATTTTGATTGACATTGCAGACATGTATTGCTAAAAACGGACAGAAGTCTACAAAATAGGCTCAAATCTTCGTATGAACTACCTCCACTCATACATTGATTTGATACTGATGTTCTTGAATGCCTCATTTGTTTAAAATACGTTGATCATAGTTCGTATACTGTTTTTTATTTTTAAAAAACAGATCCCTAACGCTCTACACAAGCATAAATTTTCTTTGGGTTTTGTGCTTCTAACGTTACTCGATGAATTTCTTGCAGACATGGAACTAAGTGAAAACCATTTATAATAACTGTAAAAAGGGAAATTTCTTAGAATATAACGGTTTAAGCACATAAAAGTGTAAACATGTACAACGTCTTTGTTAGTCGCATGTTATTTCAAATGGCATATGTTCACTAGATTTTTATACAGTTGGTTGGAATGTGGATCCTTAACAGATTTTTCGTTTAAACATGGACATCATTTAGTAATATGAATGAAGCAGAGTCCTTTTTTCAATAAACACTTTTTTCTTCGACAGTATTTCGAAATTGATCTAAGCAGTTGGATTAGCACTCAAAATCTGAAAGCATTCTGCAATCGTCTATTTTTTTAGTAAAAATTTCAGTGGAGTTTCATCCTCTGAGTTCGGTAGCCTTATCGTGAAACACTCATTATTATTCTGGACAGCATAAACTTTTCCTAAGGAGGAGACTCCACTAAAGTCATCCACTCAAGTTGCAAATCTTCACCATCTTAAGATGAGCTTCATATTTAGCAAGGTTAAGTGAATTCGAACTGGAAACCTTGAAGTTCTAAAATAAGTTACTCAGACAGTACATCTTTCATGCTCTTTACCTTTTATATAGTAGAGGTTACTCAAATTAAAATGAAGGTAACTTAATATTTTAATGTTTTTATGCGCTTCTGATATCCACTATAAGAAGTCAGTCATAAGAGCATAAAAGTTCTGAAACACGAAATGACATGTATCAAGTTGACATCCTTTAAAGTTAAAAGTTACTTGCCTAGATCATAATTTTGCATGGAATTTATCCTTATACCTTGTACTGTTAGGCAAGCCCACATAGCTTATTCTGGCTTCCGGACAAATCAGTTTGTTCATTCTGCTTGAATCACATTTTTACCTTGTTAATTATACACATATCAACCCTGAATGTTTTTATATGAATGTATATGTGTTTACATCTTATCCTACTCATCATAAACCCATAGCTTATTTTTGTGTGACTAAATACCGGTTAAAGCTTGATAAAATCGAGTTGGTTCACACGTCTTCTCCACTGTACATCATTCCTCTTCACCCCTCTGATTGTCTGTACAAAATATACGTATTGAAAAATCCATTCTCATATCTAACTTATTTAATTCCATTATTCACTAATGCAATTTAAGTCGATAATTATATACAAGAATAGTCAGAATGTATATTTCAACAACAATCATTCAATAATTGATCATTTGTCCGATCTAAGTAGAGTTCGATTCAGAGCCACTAAAATCTATATGTCAATGTGTCTACATTGTTATTGAACGACTAATTCCATCAGTTTCATTAATTAAATGTACACTACTCAAAACGTTCCTGTTTTATAACGTTCAAACAAAAATGATAACATGACGGTTGTTTGTTTGTTTTTTTAAATCCGATTTCCCTCAATTTTTTTCTTTGTTTTTCTTTATTTTTTTTATTTTACAGACATGTATTACGAAATAGATTTAAATTCATTAAAGGATAATAATAAAAATTGTTCTAGTAAAAGACAAATTCAACGAGAAAAATGTTTATACTCCTTGGATAATTTACAATATATCTATGCACGTTTATGTATTATTGATTTTGATGGTGTATTAAAAGCCATAAATAAACAACAACTGATTATGTCACTTACATCAATTGAATTATGTTTTACTATTCGACATGCTATTGATATAACAATTAAAGATTCATTTGGTGAATTTTCTGGTTTACCAATATTACATTATGATTTATTATTTTGTCATCCAGATATGAATGATAATAATGATGTTAATCATCAACATCAGTTGACTAATTCAACAAATACTCCTAGCATATCTTGGTCTATTCTACTCGCTGTACCATATAATAATGTGGAGAAAATAATAGCAGCATTAAGTTTCATGACAAATGAATTAGGCGGTTTAGAATTAATCAATAAATTATTTGAACCAATGCATTTAAATAATAATTCATTTAAATTCTATGTAGATGTTATATCTGTATCTGATTCATTATTCAATCTACCATGTATTCCTATGTATAAATCGTAAAAAATGTTAATATTATGATTAGTTTTTCTTTCATTTTGATATATATGGTTTATTTAATTCTTTTCAAGGGGAGGGGTTATGACAAATTAGAGTACGTACAAATCATTCATTTAGAATTATTAGGGTTAAATGATGATTATGATTGTAGGGGAGTTTTTTTTTCATTTTCTTCTCTAAATGAAAGAAACTCAAATACAAACAGAACGTTTGTCAAGTATGTTTCCTGGTTTATACCAGAATTCTTCAAGTAATATCGTTATATAATATATACATAAATGCTTACCTTACAATAGTCGCTGTTGTCCAACGTGTTTCAGTGATCCCAAGCACCTCTAGGTTGTATCTCCTCATTTCTGCAGCAATTTGGAAGGCTCTCCCGGTCTCCCACATTGCACGAGCATTCCATGTACCTAAATAAATGATTGCTCTGGTTTTCAGAAGGGGCATCGGTCTCGTGACTTCCGAAGGAACTCGGCTTTCATCATGAGGCGTCATAACTCTTCTAAATGAAGACCTTCTGACTCCCAGGGCAGAGTTAAAAAGGTTTGAATAATTTTTTCTGGTTAGCGTTTTTTTAGCGAGTTAGTTTTCTACGGGATGGGGTCGCTAACCCCATGCTCAATGCTCCTCCTTTACCCGGACTTGGGATCGGCAGTAGCCCCCGGATGGACTCCGAGCGGAGTTATATATAAATGACTATGGTCAAAATAAATACTTTTGTTGTAATACTATGGGATTTGACTGAAATGGAGAATTTATTTCATTGGATTCCGATTCATTGAGATGAAACGATGTTGTATTTGAATATACGAAACGTTGAAACTATTAATTTTTTTAAGAAATGCACCATACAAAAGAAAATAATATTTTAGGGAATTAGAAAATTAGGCATCAAAGAAAAATCGATAAATTGGTAGAAAAACAAAAAGTGCTCGTTGAACTTCACAACTTAGTCAAAAATACAAGCAAACTAGATTTTATTCGATGAGCATAGTGATTTTTTTTTCGAAATAACACAATAATACAGCTGGTTTGACATTGTACGTATTTATATTCGATAGTCTTGATGTCTGATTATATTTTATTGAAAAAGCTTGGACCAGATTGCCAGGCTAAACGTTGGATTTACTACAAATTCATTCGCTGAGATTTT